GAACTTTAAGATGTGTGGACTTCAACTCCCAGAATTCCCCAGCTAGCTGGCTAGGGAATTCTGGGAGTTGAAGTCCACACATCTTAAAGTTCCCAAGATCGAGAAACACTGCTTTAATCTATCCTGTTAAGATAGGTCACCCATTCATAGTAATGGCTGCGACCAATCCACATCTCAGCCACTTAAATCCTAGAATCCTCTGATGTTTAATCAAGTCTGGATGCAATGTGATCCAAAGAGGTCCCAGAGCACTCTGCATGTGCTAGAAATCCGGGGAACCTTCATTACTGACATGTGATCACTAAGGATCAACAGCTCCCGGTGGCAGCTAAATTAAAATAATTTCTTACTTTATAATTTCTTGTAATTCCTTATCATTTCTTGCCATTTTATCATTTTTTGACTGTCTCATCAGTGGGGTAGGAAATCTGGCAGATGCTATAATAGGTTATCATTTAACACTTTTTTGTCCACAGGAATTATTTACCTTTGGTTTAAATAGAAAACTGGGAGTGGGTGAATGTGCAGTCTGAGATTACAAGCCTTTTCTTCTTGCATGGTGAAAGGAAAAAAGAAAGCATTTCTCTTATTCCAGAAATTTTATTTGCCTCTTTGTAAATCCCAAATAGTTTTCCAAAGCTTGTTTCAGAATAATTAGGTTTTTGGACAACAAAACCCTTTTCAAGGGAAGAAAATACACACATTTTGTTGTCTATCCCTGCTTGCATAAATATCATGAAAAGTAAGTTTAAACTAAAAGCGTTTGGTAAACCTGCCAAGAGTAGGAACTGAGCAACCTGATAGTTTCCAAATGTCTGATTTATGCACTGTGGTGATTCCAGAGCATCATATGAACTGACCATACATCCTAGAATTTGTTTCAGAGTTTCTTCCAGTATGCAAGATTTATATTACAGACATGGAACTGCTCTGCCCCACCCTTTGCTGGATTTAGTGCTGGTGCTTAAACCATTTCATGGCTTGTTTAAGAGTGATGAATTGCTGGTCTCCAAAAGACGTTACCCATTCACTGAAGCTGTCTCACAGTTTCTTCACGTCGTGTCATCACATGTATGGCAAGGCATGACATAAGGGCTTTCTAGTAGCAGTCTCCTGGTTCCAAAAGCTGGTTGTCTGAAATTATTTTGGTGTCATTTTTATACATTTTTCCAGAGATGTTTAACTGCCAGTTTTATCTCCAGGGCTTCATTTGTATGCTTTTTTACTGATGCTTTAAAATGTTGTTTTATTATTGTGGTAATCTGACCTGAGAAAATGTTCAAAGGCAGGATATTAATATCTTAAGCAAAGGAAGGAATACAAGCTCATGTGGAATCAGTATATGTAATACTTACTTGTAAGTTCCATTTGGTATTTTCCTCCAAGCAAATACTGGTAATCCTTGTTTACTGACTGCCTCATTTAGCAACTATTTGCAGTTACGACCTTGATGAAAAAGTAATACTGTAAAAGTCTGTAAAGCAAAGGAAAGCTGAAATAAGATTTCCTTTGCTTTACAGACCTTTACAGGATTGGTTGCAGTTTCACTTAGCAACCACTTCACTTAACAACTGAGTTGCCAGTCCCAATTGTGGTCGCTAAATGAGGACTAAGCATAGTGTTGTAGATTAAGTTTAAGACCAAATATTTCAGCTAAACAAGGCTGTTAAGCAAACTGCAATTAACTCCTATTTCTTGGCTAACAAGATTTTAGTTAAAAGTTTCAAACTGTTCTATATTGCTCAAGTCAGGACACAACTTTTTAAGGGTCCTTAGCACCCCCTTCCCCTTCTCATAATCGGAGGCATCCACTGAGTCTGGAGGTTTCATCAGAATGATTAAATATATATCACAAAGTCATAACACATGTTCATCTCTTACATATGTGCATACAAAACATGCATATATACAAAAGGAATAGGTTGTGTGGTGACATCACAATACACTTTTCATCATTTGTTCCCCTTGGGGACACCCATGTTCCTAACAGACATCTTACCAAACACATAGTTCATCATGACTGTATACAAACTACTCCCTGAACCACAAACTAGCATATAATATGAAACTCGGTTGAGTAAATCATGATGAAGTTAACCATGGGTAAGCATGGTGTGCAAATACTGCCTCAGCCTGTGACTTTATACGGAGTGAACCCAGTGAATTCCTTCCTGCAGTGTCTACAATCAACAGCTGCCTGACTAACACTTGCTGGTTAGAATTCCTGAGGTATAAGTCTATCCTGTTTAAACATACAAGAGCAATACTTTTTAGGAACATACATAGAACAATGTGCTTAATCCTTCCTTCCTTAGCGTGATGAGAAAAGGAATTGTTCTTATGTCAGTGTGTTCTTATTGTGGTGCACCTTTTCTTCCATATTCTCTTCTGTTCTATGATACAGTGATCATTCCAGGCAGCCTTGTCCCCAACTATCTCTGGCATCAACAGACAGAGTAACAGATCCAAACAGATCCCCAAAATAGCCCAGTGAGGAAACAGTAGCATTATTTATTGGGTAACTTTAGATTCTGAACTTAATGGTCTTACTGCTCTTTAGATGGTAAATTGTGTTAAGCTTAGCATATGTTCTAGTTTAACCAGGACTATCCCAATTTTGGGCTTTAGTCTGGGCAGCCTGCCTGGCATAAAAAAAGCCCTTGTTAAGGGCTTGGAAATATGATAATAATGTAGTACAATCCTGTTGAACTGCTGGATGGAGCCCTAGGCTTTAATCTGAAAGGGGAAAGGGAAAGAAGTGACTCCTTCTTCTGAAATAAGCCATTCGGGAATGGCTTCCATTTAACTACCAATGATGTTTTTTCTTTCCTTGGCTGGATTTCTGGCCCAGAGAAGAGAGAAGAAACAAATTCATAAAAAGAAAGCTAAAAGAACAGAAACAACAACTAGGAAGAAAAAAAAACAGGACAGTAAAGAAGAGGACAACACATAGAGACAAGAGATGCAGCACAAACCTTAATTCAGTTTAATGATAACTAAGTATGTTTACATGCATCAACATTGCCTAGCTTTTTTCTTCCACCTCCCTCTCATTTCCTTTCCATGTGTCTTACAGAGTGCAAACCTGAGGGTGGGGCCTATACAATTACTGATTTTAAAGAGCCATTTTAGGAACTTTATTTGGCTGAAGAACAAAGCAGATATGTTTACATTAATTAATTAATTAATTACCATTTGGGGGAGAGTTTGTTTTCTAAGTTAATACATACAAGCCACCTATTATAAAAAGAAAAGCCTGACCTTGTATTTACAGTATTTCAAAAATGCTGACTTGAAAAGCAACCTGATATCAAGGCCGAAAGAAAGGGAAAAACCCCCCGAATAAACCAGATCCAAGTTACAAAACGAACTCAAATGTGGAAGGCTGCACCGTCATTGCTGCTGTGTCATGTATATGCTTGAAAATACATAGCCTTTCATCCTGTTTGATCCCATTGTCCTAACAGAAGGGTGGGCTAATGTTTTCAGCCTAGGATCATGTGGGTGTGTGGGCAAACCCCCCTTGCGCTTCCAGCCCAGAGCTCTCTTTTAGGTTATCCAAAGAGCATTTCCAATGAGCAAGGCGAGAAGCACGCTAAGCTGATCTATAAAGGGTTGGGCGGCTTTGTACAAAATAGAAAGCTGGAGGGCTGACAGTATGTGATCCTCTGGAACAAATGTGTTTCACACAGAGAGAGGCGCCCCAGCCTCTAGTTACATCTCTGGCAGCGGACAACAATTCTCAGCTTCGCTTTCCAGGGTTATTACTGGCCGAGGCTGCCGCCTGCGAACAGGCTTTGGCAGCCCCCTCGTGTCCTTGTTCGAAAAGGGCAGCTGACTTGTTCAGGAGAACATTGCAGAGCGAGCGGGCGGGCAGGGCGGCTGGAGGGCCCCAGGCGGAAAGAAGCCCGCCCTTCGCTTCCCGAGGCGAACTTTCCCTTGGGATCCTGGACAGCTATAGGACGCCGAGGCATAAAAAGGATTAAGGCGGGAAAGAGGCGCGGTGGGGTGGCTGCGCAGGGCGGGGCGGCGCTGGGATCTCGTCCTTCTCCCGAGGGGAGCGCCCGGGGCAGAAGCATCGCCGCGCGGACTAAAGGAAGCTCCAAGCCGGGGGCGCAGGCGGACAGTGCTGCCCAGCGAGAGGCCGCTGCCGCAGCGCTATGGAGGGGAGCCCGATCCCGGTGCTCACGGTGCAGACGGTCCCGTACGAGGACCAGAAGCCGACGGGCGGCGGAGGGCTGAGAAGGCCCACCGCGGTCTTCGAGGGCCAGCGCAACTACCTGCCCAACTTCGTGCAGAGCGTGCTCTCCTCTGTCGACTTGCGCGACCGCCAGGGCTGCACCATGGTGGTGGGCAGCGACGGCAGGTACTTCAGCAGGACGGCCATCGAGGTGGTGGTGCAGATGGCGGCAGCTAACGGGGTAAGGGCGGCACCTCCCTGCGCTCCTCCGGAGCTCCGTTGAAGACGAACTTTTGGAGCGGGTTAATAGGGGAATTACTTATCCACAGTTCTAGTTCGTGGTGATGATCATGGTCATGATGATAGGGCAGTCCGTCTTTCTAATCCATTTTAGGGAATTGTGACTTCAAAACGAGATTGTAAATGTTCTGGATTAAGTTGCAGACATGATACGATCATGGTAGGTGGATGTTGTTGGGTCCAGCTGATCTTATGAATTGTTTTACATCTTCAAGTTTCCATTATCCTATGGATCCATTATGCAGTCCATGATTTATTCTATCACATCCTATCATACACATATATGATATATATTCTGTCACATCCTATCCTTCTGTTATCTGTGGCCTCCATTCAATTCATTTGTATAACTTCCCATTCTACCTTCCTCTGTGGAGCTGTTTGCTAGCCTGCCCTTTGTTGCCACATCTGTGTGAGTTCCTGATTGTTGTAATGATGAAAGTGTGCTACAAGACTTGGTGTTGTACTGACTGGTTTGCTGTCAACATTAGAGAACAGCTATTGGTAGCGTAGATTTTGGAGGCTCAATTTTGGAGGCTCACTAAGTTTCTCTGTGTTATATCTTGAGTCTCTGACATATTTACTCCAATACTGTATGGAAAAAATGCAGTGGTTTTTCACTGTCGTCTCTTGCCATCCACCATAGTCTATCAAATTGTTCCAAGGTCTTTGCCTACTTTTCCCCCTCTAATCCGGTGTTCCACTGTTTTTGTTATATTGATTCACTGAATCTGTCTGATCATGTAGTTTGCATATCGCTTGCTTTCAGCTCTGTTGCTGCTTTCTCATGACATAATGAACTACAGTACAAACCAATCAAAACCAGTTTAGCTTAGCATATTGTACAAACTCAGCCTGTACGGTTAGTTGTAGGCTGAGTTAGTATGTTATGTGAAGCCAGGAAATTATGTTAACTAAGCAGAGTATGTTTCAGTGAATTACATGTAAGTGCATTGTATGAATTCAGCCAGTAATTACTCATGTAATTTATTTATATTCTCATAATTTCATAGAGGAAGATGCATTTAAAATCTGCAAGGTGAAAGTTTACAGTTTACCAAACATGGTTAACCACATTCCTTTAGTTTAAAAGTACTTCCATCATGCCAGTAAATCTATTCAGAAAGAAATATGCGCACTTAGACATCATTAAGGCCAGTTTACAAGTTTAAAAGCCATAACAATTTCAATATGTCAGGGATATGTTTAATAGCCAAGCTATATTTCTCACATTATTGTATTTTTGAAGGCCATACAGTATGCCTCTGAGACAGTGACATCTGCCTGACCTTCTGCTTGGCTTTCAGAGAATAAGGAATCTCCCTCTGAAGAGACAATAGTAGATTTGCTGTGGGAAAGTACTGGAGAGAAATCTGCTTTGGAAGGAAATTAGAACATTGAGCCAAATCCTCTGCAAATATCTTTCATACATTTACTATAGTAGTTTGACATGGTCCTTTTTATGCTCTTAACAAAGAGAGAGATAATCTAAAGAGGAGTGCCCAGCATATGTATGTTCTACTGATAATGAGAAACTGAATTTGATAATTCACCTCATGGCACCTCAGTGGATTGCTCACTTTCAAAGTTACAAAAAAAAGTTTATGCTTACAGAATAGCCCATATGAACCAGACATAACCTTGGATAGACATAAACTGAAGCTGGTGATTGTAAAGAGCAAGGCACAAGTAGGAGATTAAGGAGTTTAAAAGAGAGAATAAGAAAGATCAAACGAACTGCTAGCTAGCTAGCAAGATGACCAAGGCTAGGCTGGTCTTACCTATAGGACTCTGAGTTTATCAGTTGAGTTGGGAAGGCAGATCATGATGTCTCTTCCTCTTTTGCTCCTGATTATGGCACAAACATGGCTTGGTAATTTGTTTTTCTGCCATGTCTTTATGTTAATTTTTCACTGCCAGCCTCATTCCCAACTCCTACCTGAGACAACTTAAAGTCAACCTTAGCTCTTTCAGTTTTAGAGTGTGTCTTGTTTTTTATCCTGACATAATTTTAATGGATAAAGTCTGTTACCCTTCACTGACCATTTGGTTGCTGATGTGGTCAGGAGTTGGTATCTCCCCAGTTATTTTTTGCCACTTTAAGTTGCTATTTATGCCCCTTTCTGGCTGGTTCCTGGGCTTGGTCCTCCATGGCCAATTTGGCATGGGCTGCAGAGATATCTACTTGTGTAGTGCCTGACTGGTGCTTTGCATAGGACTTGTCAGGTCTTGCATGGGTTCCTCATAAATAGAGAACAAATCCTGTGTTGCACAGAAGAGTTGGAACCCACTGGTCTAAGCAACTGTCTATATTCACTCCACCCCACTTAGGGAGAGTGATTGATGGCCCACAGGTAACACTTGGAGGAAGGAGACTCCACCAGGCTCTTTCATTAACTTGGTTCATAATCAGTAAGGACAGTGCAATTCAGTGACTATGTTATTATAGCATAATAGGGATCCTCAATGGGGGCAGCAGACATTGTGCAGATATATTGTTTTGCTGACTAAAGAACTGCTGGAGAGCATTTTAACTCAGCAGTGAGGAAGAGCCCTGTGAGGTGTGTTTGGAATAGTTCCTGGAAATTATTTCAGCTAGCCCAGAATATAACTGATGACCTACACAGCATATACTTGATCCAGTAGATTCTTTCTTTGTCCCATTCCATTACTTGGATATTTTGTCCATACTGTACAGTATCAGCACTTTAATATTTTCTTTGCTATGCATTTTGGAGCCCCCAGGTTAAATACTCCAAATTGTTGACATTAAAACAAATCTAACCACCTCCTTCTCTGTATTACAGCAAACTTGACCTTCCCTCAGGAGGACAGATCAGTAGACTACAGTAATAATTTCTGTTGTGATTATTTTCTCATAACTGGAGGTTATAGTGCTGTTATTTTGACATAACATATAGTGCTATTATTTTGACATGCTTGTGACTTGACTTCACAAGCATTTCCTTATCAGATGCCAATTATGATTTAGAATTCAAATTGGCAATTAAATGCTCAACATGTTCTTGAATGTCTTGTCATGAATGCTGACACTTTCTTCTTTCAATCTAATCTTGTTAAATTTGTTGAGGAAAAAATATAAATGAGAGAAACAATCTGTTCTTATTTGTGGAATGTAGGAAAGAGCTGAAGAACATGTTTTGTATGGGAAAAAAATTCCATGTTTGATCCAGAATCTTAAAAACATGCCTCTTATTTGAATACTTGCCAGTAATGACAGTTATGAACCAGAAGCATTAACAGTACAGTATTACTTTCTATAAGGTAGCTTACTTTCAGTTTCAGTGCACTACAGCATTTGATTATAATGGGGAAACATTGGCTGGTTCACACATCACATTAAACAGTTTTCTTAACTGTGTTTTATTGAATAAACTACAGTAGACCAGCTTCACACAGTAAGGTAAGCCATAAACATTGGTTGAGAAACCAAAATGGATGGTGTCACAGAAAACATCAAGCCAAAACTAACAAGCCACATTATGGCTTAGTGTGATGTGAACTCGGTCCTTATGAAGGACATACAGTATGAGGAATACAAAAGCAAAAGACTTGGCAGATTCTGAGATGTAATCTTTTTGTCTATGTGTATATCAAAGTTAATTTATTTAAATGTATGACAATTATGGTTGGTTGAAGTAGCAATTCTTCGACTTTTGCTTAACAAGTAATTCATATAGAATTTTAAGTATGTGTTTTATATTTTTCAAATTATAAATGTGACAGAATTCTGATGATAATAGTGCTTTGAAAACTGATAGAAATAGTTTTATATACCACTGACATGTATTAACGGTCCAGGCATTTTAAGAGTTGAGATTTTTTAAAATAAACTATAAGTCCATTTATTTTTAAGACAAAACACAGAGAATTTAGAACAATGAATTATTTGAATGTATAGAGTTTGTGAGCTATAAAACTCTAGGCATTGTGGTCAAGTGTGCCGTAGAGAATGTTTTGCCCATGTGTCCCAGTCTCTTCAGCTCATTTTTATTTTGTTAAAAGAACAAAGTATAGCCCTTTTGGGAGTATGCTTTTACAAAAAGGCATTGCATGACTAAGAGTTCCTTCACACAAAGAAAACAGCTGTACTGTAGATTTCTGTTCACCAAAAGTATGTTTAAGATGCATACATTTTTGTTATTGTTTTAAGATTTTTTAAAAAGTTGAAACTGGTAGAGCAACGTTTAAGAACAGGTTGTGCTTCATGATACTCTGCAAAATTGGCCAGCCAAATACACTCTTCTCAGGTGCTTCAACAGATGGCCAGTCTTTCAATTTCTATCTCTGCCATAGGTAGTATGTTCAAAGCACATAAACTAGCAACAGACTTTTTTTAAAATATAGGACACTGTCCTGATCATGCAATTCCCAAAGTAATGGATACTTATTTTAATACCTAAAGGGATCCATGTGAAGAAAGTTTGACATGTTCATGGCTGCCTCTTAAATGCTTCTAATACTTGGAAGTACAAAACATTTGACTAGTCACATTCTCAAGGGATGAACTTTTTTTTTTTAAATAAAACAACTGATTATATAGCAGTTGTAAAGTTAGCAGTATGATAAAACAATTAATGCATTCTACTGCATGTTAAGCTTTTCACAAGGTTTTTTTGCCAAATTTTTCCTGCATCTATGAATACAAGGATGGGGAATTGCTTTTTGCACAGAATGCTATATTTATCTCTGGAAGATCTAGTGGGAATAGGAACGATCAGTAATCTGATTGTGAAGTTGTCTCCCTTCAATTTTAGATTATGTTTTCACCCTGTGTATGGAGAAAGACTTCAGCCAATGTTTCCACTCTGGCCTTGGCTGGCCAGATGGGGAGGCATTTGATCCAGTTTGAAAATTTCCATTCTGTATATTATTACATATCTGAAATACACTAGTTCAAATCAAATCTTTATTACAGTC